GTTTCTTCCTTGAGTACAGATTATCAGTTGAATACGTTGAGAAAGTGTATCCGAAAGAAAACGAATGAATATCCCGAAATACTTGATTGCATGTGTACATACAAGAAAACTCGATTGCTTTTGTTTTTCATTTAGTCTATCCTTCATCACATTTTCAAACGATATATTCGTCATCATTGACTACGAACAGTCAAATATATTTCAGAGATTGCAGTGAATCAAGCTTTTATTATGAATCTATTCAAGTAAATGTAACTGAGTATGGTTATTATACTTTTCGTAGCTATAGCACGAGTGATACATATGGATATATTTACAAAAACAAATTTAATCCATTTAATTTATCGGAGAATTTCCTCAAAGAAGATGATGACAGTGGTTCTGATAATCAGTTTAGACTTGATATTCTTCTTGATGTTGACATTACATATGTATTGGTTGTAACAACATATACTTTAAGTACGGTCGAAACATTCTCGATCGCTGTACTGGGTACAAACAATGTCACTCTCAAGCGTCTTAGTGAGTATATATTTATATATATTATTTAGTGAATAATCAGTACAGAACATAGAATATTATGTATTCATTGAATTACTGCTGTCATTTTAAGAAAAGGTTAAAAGTGTCACTATTATTCAATTAATAGTCATTTCCAAGCACGAAAAAAGCAGCTAGCATCTCTCAATGCATCTAGATTGATTAGATACAATGATAGATGCAGCTAGTTGTTTAGAAAAAAGAGAAAAGTTGAATCCAGCATCGCTCAATGCAGCTAGTAAAAAGTTCTCTTCAAGTGTTTTAACAAGTAGATGCAAAATCGATGCATTCATTATGACATCGGGCGATGCACCGCCTCTCTGAGCTCTTCAATAGTATTTTATTATTACTCGATGCATTGCCTCTTACATCTAGTGTATCGCTTTTACTAGATACATCTAGATAACTAGATTATTTTTACTCATTTAGCTAGATGCTCGTGCTGGGGCATCGCTAGATGCACCAGCTAATGCATCTAGATATTTTTGCTTGGGTTGTTATAACTAGTCTAATCTCTCAAGTGAAGTTGGTCGAATCCTTTTATACAATTTCTAGTTGAATTTTCTTTTGAGAATGCCCTGAACAAATATTCTTATACAAAGAAAAAAAAAACTAAAATCTTATCGTTGAACAGGACTTTATTAAAATTCTAGAATTTGCAATCTTTTATCGAGATTTTGTTAAATGAAATATAAAAGGCAGATGAGAAGTCGAATGTCATTAGTTCTTGCAGATTGACACTTTCAATTATTTTATTGGGTATATAATGTGGTTATGATTTCATGTCATAATTGATCAGTTATCTATAGGAATATCGAATAAACTTCGAAAAAAATACATTTTAATCTAAACTTTTTTATTTTCCAACAAATCGAGCTGGCTCATTTAGAGTCCCGCTGGTCAAACTTTTCTGTTGCCCCGATCCCGTAAGCCCGAACCCGAACAGAAAAATTCTTGTCCCGTCCCGTAACCCCGAGCCCGTGAGCAAATAGCGTTGTCCCGAACCCGTCTGTCTCGCGAAAACAATTATGGGCTTTTTTGCCCCGTCCCGTTTGTCCCGTAATTTTCTGAAAAAGTTTTTCTGCTGTGATAAATCGGAACTATTACAAGCGGCGCCTAACGTCTCAAACTCAGTCTTGCAAAAATCCGCATGACAAAATTCAAGCCTGTTTTATTTATTTGGGTCTAAACTTAAAAGTTGCAGTATAAAAGAATGCTTTACATCCACTCACTAGCTCGGAATCGAAAGGAAAGAACGGTAAACCTAGTTTTAGATATGGAACATCTTCTCAAGTTTAAATCCGGATTATTTCGCCTCTCCAGGTTAATTTTTATTAGTTATTGTAAAATTACGGTTTTCACGTGATAGTACCGGTTGGCCCAGAACAAATGGCCCTCCTCGTATTTTGCATTTAATTTCTTTTATTTTCAATCCTTAGACCTGATCGTTTTTCCAAAAGATGCGCCGTCGAATTCTCTACAAGATTTGATCAAACTTATTTCTATAACAAGTTAAGGAGAAAAATGAAATGAAGAATACTCAATACGATGAAAAGGACCAACTTTCTAAGCTGAAATATCGTTTTGTTGCAGCACTTTCATTGCGTTGGATGATGAAAACAAGAGAATACATGCATTTTGTAGCCATTGAAAAGGTCTATCAACCAGTATTAGATGCACAATCCAAAATCAATCTTGCACCAAAATAGCACCTTTCTAGCTCGGTCTTTTTTTATTTTGACGAGAAATGATACTTGTGCCAGATTCAGCTGCGAAAGTTACCTTAAAGCTTTCTTCATAAATTCACCTGCCGAGCAATAGCGAATTTTGGTCATCTTGCGGTGAATTTTGGAATGTCAGATTTTTCAGTGCTAACTGAGATTTGAACGAACTGTGAACTGCATAAGGAGAAAGAGCGTACTTCAAAGTCCTCAAAAATATCTTCAGTTTTGTTTCATTGTCTTTGGTCTTGTTTAAAATATTCCAAAATTTGTAAAACAAAATAGCCTAGAAAGTTGGTCCTTTCGTCATATTGAATATTTTTCGTTTCATTTTTCTCCTCAACTTTTTATAGAAATAAGTTTGATCAAGTTTTGTAGAGAATTTGACGGCGCATCTTTTGGATGAACGACCAGGTCTAAGGATTGAAAAGAAAAAAATTACAAGCAAAATATGAGGAGGGCCATTTATTCTGGGTCACCCGATATTACCAGAATTAAATATTTGAAGTTGCAGTATAATTACAATCAAAAGACAAAACTTACCAGGCAACATTTTTCTGCAACTTGTCCCGCACCCGTAAGCCCGAGCTCATGAAATTTTTTTCTTGCTTCAAGCCCATAAGTTTCTTTTTGTCCCGACCCCGTCTGTCCCATGGGATGGGATCCGGGGCTGCCCCGCAGGAGTCTAGGCTCATTACATGTTGGTTGAAGTTGAACAAATGTGAGAATAATGACAACAGGAAAAAGAACAACAAGTAAAAAAAGAAAGAAACAAACAAATACAGTTTTGTCAAATACAAGACACGAATATTGATGAGATCGATTGAGACAAATTCTTTTCTTCTAGTCATCGTTGGAAAATCGTTAAATGATTTCTTTGTTTTTGATATGTAGAATGTTACGTAATTCTGATTGGTTAAGTTTCTCCTTCACAAAGCTTTAGTAGAGATAAGAAAGTGTTTCTCGAAACTCGAACCACGAATCTTCTTCTATCTGGGCTGATGTTCTGTCGCAATTAGAGTGAAAAGGACATTTTTAACTCTGTTTATTATCGGCATATATTATCAGCAATGTTAATAGTCATAAGAATTCTAAAAGTATATAATGTGAAGATACAAAATCCATTG